GCACGGGGAGCCAGACCCCGTACGCCCGCCCAGCCACTATGGCTTGAAGAGCACATGCAGCACATGTGTGTGCACACCCAAGATCCCTGACAGGATAGAGAGATGGAGGGAAAAGAATTGTGGTGTACTTTCTCCCTCTCTTTCTCTAGCAAGCACACATGCCCTCTGGCAATAATAATAATAAATAATAGAGGGTTTGCTCCATTAATTTAGTGATTAAAGGAGCCAGATCCCACATGGCCAATGGTGGTTCAAATCCTGGCCACAGTGACTTAAAAAACATGCCAGATGCATGCATGCCCCAAATCCTGAAAGGTGGGAGCAATGGAGGAGAGGATGTGCGTGACCACACTCTATAGGAATGCTTTCTCTCTGTGTCTGTCTCTCTGGTAAGAGTTCCTGCCCTCTAGGGAACCAGCAGTTAGCGTAATGGCTATGTTGCTGGACTCCCACGTAGTCAACCGCGGTTCGCGTCCTGGACCCGGTGGCTTAAAACCCACGCCGGGTATGTGTGTGTGCGTGCCCAAGATCCCAAGAGGAGAATGGAGGAGAGGGGATTGTGGTGTGGCCATCCCCCCTGGGGGGTGATTTCTCGCTTTCTGTCTCTCTGTCTCTCTCTGTCTGTCTGGCGAGCGCACGCGCCCTACAGTGAAAAAACCTCTCAAAAAAAAAAAAAAAAAAGAGTTCCTGCCCTCTGGCAATTAAAATGATGAAAAAAAGAAAAAAAGAATTTGCAAGCTTTTCCCTTAAATGGAAAAATGAAGATGCCAATACATGTCATCTGCTACACTTCCTGTGAAAGAACGAACATGCACACACACACACACACACACACACACACACGGTCTTTGAAAAGTTTGCAGTGGCCCAGCTTGCTGGCACCATTAGTACACACTACAGTGCTGGAAGCCACATGGCTGACAATGGGTTCAGGCTTTCGAGTAGGCCTGGTGATCCCCAAGGCACGTTGCATGGGTGCCCAGGTTCTGATTAGCATGAGTAAAAGGAATCTCAGTGGAATGAGATCTTGTCCAAGGTGCTTCTCTCTCTTTGCATGCATGTATTCACCTTTACGCTATCATAAATAAACTAAATACTTTTTTTAAAAAAAATTTGTTATGGGGTTCATGCACTCACAGGAGAGAGAGAAAACACCCTATGGGAGCAATGGCCACACTACAATCCCTTCTCCATTCTTCTCTCAGGATTTTGGGCACATGCACCCATGTATCCAGTGTGTTTTTCTTTTCTTTTAATTATTTATTTACTTATTTAATTCGATTTTGTTTTGTTTTGTTTTGTTTTCTTTTTTTTTTTAATTTGATAACACAGAGACACAGAGAGAAACAAAGAGAGAGGTCACCAGGTCTGGGACACAAACCATGGTTGGCCATGTGGGAATCCAGTGCCTTTAACCGCCATGCCATCTGCCAGCTCCTTATCCAGTGTGTTTTTCAAGGTTCCAGATCCAGGACTCAAACCACACAGTTGGCCATGTGAGATTCAGCCACCTTAACCACCATGCCAGCTGGCTGGACCTGGACCAGCCACCTTCCCATGTAGCATTGCATTTTACCATTCAGCCCCAAATTCCATTTCTGCAGAAACTGTTTGAATGTGTGTATATGTGTGCATATGTGCGTATGTATCTGTAAATGAATAGAATGTCTTACTCTCCAAGGAACAGGTAAAAGTAGCTGCCCATGGAGAGGAACAGATTAGCTGGAGCCCTCCAGGGAGAAAGACTTACTTGTCACTCTTTTCCCTTTCGTGCTTTTTGAATTTTGTATCCACATATGAGTGTTTTGTATTTCCTAGTAAAAATAAACTAAATAGTGAAGGCTTAATTTAAGCTAGGCAATGTGTTAAATGCTTCATGTGCTTGTCCGAGTCTCAGAACAATCCTACTTTGTTTTAAGATTTCCATTTTATGGTTGGAGAAACTGAGACCCAGGGAGGTTAGCTGACTTGCTAGAAAGGATTCAAGACATACGCAGCTCGATGCCAGGTCCTTACTCTTGACCCCCTGGCTTTGCTGGGGCCACGTTGCTGGCCCTTGGCTGTGCGTCTCCCACCCTACCTTTGGCCCTGCCTTTGCCTGGGAGTGTTGGAGTGGTAAGAGAATGAAGAATCAGCCTCAGACAGCCTGTATCATGGGCACGTGTGCACCAGCATGTATGAGGAGGCCCCAGGATGGGAACCCAGGACCTTCCCATGTGGTTCCAGCTTGGCAGAGTGTCGCCACCCACTGCACCATGGGTGGCCCGATCTGCATGAACTTATTTATCCTCACAACCACCAGAGGCTATTTCTCTGGCCATGCTCATTTCATGGATGGAGTCAGGGCTGGTCTGGGGCTTTGCTGTCATCACCCTGTGCCTCCTATTACTTCCACCTCCCTGAGCAAGTGGATCGATTGTTTTCTCTAACTGTGGATGATGGAGTCCCACTCTCCCATGAACATATTCTATGCGGTATGTGAATTCTCAGTAAGAATTTAAAATTTGGGGATCAGCAGGTGGTGCAGTAGTTAAGGCGCTGCGTTGGACTCCCACATGGTCGACAGTAGTTTAAGTCCTGGACCCGGCAGTTTGAAACTCACTCTGGGCATGTGTGCGAGTTCAGAATCCTGAGAGGAGAATGGAAAAGGGATTGCAGTGTGGCCATCCCCCCAGGGGGTGATTCTCTCTTTCTCTTTGTCTCTTTGGTGAGTACACACACCCCATAACAAAAATATCTTTAAAATGTGTGTTTATGTTAATCTTTTTTTTTTTTTGGAGAGGTTTTTGTTATAGGGCGCGTGCGCTCACCAGACAGACAGAGACAGAGAGATAGAAAGTGAGAAATCACCCCTCGGGGGGGATGGCCATGCCACAATCCCTTCTCCTCCATTCTCCTCTCCGGATCTTGGGCACACACGCACACGCACCCGGCGTGAGTTTTAAGCCACCAGGTCCGGGACTCGAACCACGGTCAACTACATGGGAGTCCAGCGACATAGCCATTACGCTAACTGCTGGTCCCTGTTTATGTTAATCTTT